GTTCGCACTCATCATCTGACATGTGTCACGCACGAATCAAAGTCTCCGACAACATGTCCACTAATAGTTTCTTCACATTGGGTCTTATGAGTAACATTGCGTGGCAACGGGTGGAAGTTTTTGAGAGGTATGAAATTCACTCAGTTCTGACACCAAATACACTCAACTTAATCCGCCAATCACAAATGTTATTAAAAAAACCATGGCACTAACTTACCCTAGAAAACTGAGAAAAAGTGACAAAAGAAACAAAGGACAATAGACATAAGATGGGGGACATGGTATAAAATAACTTCCTCGTGTGCTTGGCAACAACATACGATAGGGATAGAGGTTCCCTTATACTCTACTTTGCTTGATGATTGATGCCCAACCACCTATTAAAAATGCCTTCTAGGGTTGTCCTATACGTAGCTGTTCTATTTAAGAAATATAAAATGGTTTCCGTGTTTACATAGCCTGATGTAAACACGCGGGAGGTTGGGAGAACACGAGATAAGCGTAGGAAACCACGACGCGAAGCGGAGTGGTTTCCAGCTTATCGAGTGTTCTCCCAACCTCCCAAGTGTTTACATCAGGCTATGTAAACACGGAAACCATTTTACATTTCTTTTGTAAAATAACTAATGAAAGAGCCTCTTCTTGCAACGAAGGAAAGCGACGTGCTTGTTGTTGTTGTTCATTTGGCTTTTCGGCCGTTTCTTGCAATACTGGGAAAATTAAACTCCAAAGAAAAATTAGGAAAATCTTCTTCTTCCATTACTGTACTCAAAACAAACTTAAAGAAACTGAGCTAAATAAATAGCAGGGAGAACTCCGCGAGAAGATTCTGTATGAAAACCGTGTTTACATACGCTCATGTAAAATGGTTTTATGGCCAATCAGAGCGCGCGTACTATTTGAATTATTTTATAATGCTTTTTCTGTTACTTTTCTATTTGTTATTGCTTGCATCAGTCACACCGAACTTGACTCAAGCTGCGAGTCAACGCTGCGTTAACCAGCCTGTTTCAAATTCATGTCGAATATCCCTATTTCACCGTCAATCACAGCACTATGTGTCGGCATTGAAAATCATGTTGTCTTATACGCTTCTTGGTCGTGCTTACCAGTGCAATCGTGATGTTTGAGATGCTTATGTCGTGGTCTAGTAAGTATTCATGCAGTTGTTCGTGGAATATCAAATTTTGTTCTTCCAACTCAACTTCTGGAAGTAGGGTTAACCAGAATATAAGCATATAACCCATAAGCTTCTGGTTTAACAATTTGGTGACTTCGATCTCTTGCACCCTCTCCACAACCGAAACAACGTCCACTACAGACTACCAGGCTTCATCCAGGCTCCCATAAAATTGCAACACATGCCGCACTATCTTTCGCGAATAGAAATGTTTTAATAACTTTCTTAAACCTATTTACGGACGCAATGTTTGTGATGGAAAACGGAAGATGATTCCACAAAGTTATGAGCGGCTGCGTAAAAGGAATGATCGCCAAGCGTAATGAGTGATTAACCCTTACAAGGAGGAAGGCGTAGACCATCATTTGAACGTAAATTATGTCTTCCGGTGTCTCTAACAGAAATAAGGTCGCTTATACAAGCAGGGGAAAGAGCAGGTAATTAAGAGAATTTTAAAAGCAATACGATATCATATAGGCAGCCAGTGTAATGACTTCAGCAGAGGTGCGATGTGACAAAATATGTTCTCCTGGAATATTAGGCACGCAGCTCTGGGCATTCTGGACTCTCTGTAACTCATGTAGATGACATTCGCAAGCTACAAACAAGAGACTGTTACAATAGTCCAGGCGGCTTGAAATAAAAGATGTGTAAGTGTCTCTGCCCGAGTACTTTCTAATTCTTCTAGGTGTTCTTCTTCTTCTCGTCGTGATATGATCAATCATGGCAAGGTTTGGGTAAAGCCAGACTTTTTAACAGGAGAGTGCGGAGCTACATTTACATAACTAACTTAAACGTGGCCAATATTTAGTATGGAGAGGTGCAGCTTCGTGCCAATCAAAAAAAAGTCAGTTTTAGCCTCAACCAACAGTAGTTTACTGTCACCCGTCTAACACCTGAGCGCCTTAATACAACCGACGCTCGATAACATGCAGAAATGGTAACTAAGTGACCCGTGTCATATGCGGGACTGAAGGGAATTCAAGGTGGGTGTCGTCTGTGTAGCAGTGGACGGATGGAATATAATCTTGAACAACATCTAGTAGCGAGATCGAACAAATGAAGCGGCTCAAAACAGGAGCCTTGAGGGACTCCGCATTTCAATTTAAACTTCCCAGGCTGACGCCCACAAACTCATATCCGCTGATTACGCCCTGATAAATACGATCGCAAACACTTAAACACCCTTCCCCCCAAGTTGTAGCCTGAGTGCCTTCAGTAAGATCCTGTAGTCGATACTATCAATAGTAACACAAAGATGTCGTTTTTAACTTTCGGGAGTACAGTTTCAGTGCTGTGGTTCTCTCTGTAAGCCGATTGCGCAACGGATATAAGTTCGAGTCAACCCTGTAATCATGTATCGGATGAAAAACTGCTTTCTCAGAAACCTTCCATAAGAAAGCCAAAGTTGGAAGATTTTATGCGGCGGCGACAAAATATTAATTTTTTTAGTGGTAAGGACAATATCTCACGAGTGAGCCCCGGTATCGTTCTTGTCACGAGAACATAAAATTCATATTTTCGAGCTAACGTGTAATTTTCTTTTTTGTAAATGGACAATAAATTCATCTCCGTCGTTTACCACAAAACTCCTGCGGCGGCCATCATTCCAAACAACAAACAAACCACGTTCATTTAGCAAAGTTCGAAAAGGCGGAAAAAAGTGCCACTCTGTTCTCGGATGTGGTGATCGTATTGATTCTACGAGTGTTTTAGTTCCCTGTTCTGTCCTGATATCATGGTGTTTTCATTCTTTGAAGATGTTTGATAAAGTTGGGGCTTATAGACCGTATCATGAAACATCATTATCAAAATTAAAAACATTGTCTCCGACTCATAGTCTAAGCAAGAAGTAAAATCCAGTGGGCTCTAGTAGGAAGTGAAGTGCAGACTGTGCGATTTTGAGACGCCAATACCACAAAATATTGGCAGCCTTAGGAGAAATTATATTCACGTATCACTAATTCGAGCTTCGTATCTTCCACTCTATCCCATCGTCTGATTGTAAATTAGTTTTAGTAGCGCTGAAAATTTGATTGAGCTTCATGTCTCTGTTCGGTGAATATCCGTGCACTAATCAATCAGTTGCTCCAATCCACATTGCGTTCACGACGGCCGCAGTAACTGTTCCTTTATGTCTGTTTACGGTCGCTGGGAATGTACTCGTCGTGTTAGCAATCTTCATCGATCCAAACAAAGATCTCAAATCACCTTTTAACTACTTTGTGGCCAGCCTTGCCATTAGCGATCTTTTGGTGGGATTCGTCGTCGACCCGACTTCGGTAGTGTATCATGTAATGGAAGGAACTGCGAGAAAAAGACCACCAGCATCCTACCTTCACGTGCCGTACTTCATTTCGTGTACAGCTTCTGTTCTCAGTTTGGCAGCTTTAACACTGGATCGATATTTGGCGATAACGTCTCCGTTAACCTACAGAACAAAGTTAAATCCGAAGCGAGCAGGTTTTGTGGCGGCTGGCATCTGGTTATTCTCACTAAGTTTCCCTTTCATATACCTTGTCACGGGTTACCTCACATATTCATTTGTCTTCCTCCACACAGTCGTGATTGGCACTCTCTTAATCATCATTCTTACTTATCACAAGATCCTTCGTGTATTAAAAAGTCAAATGGAACAGTGGAATTCTTTGGATCAGACGAACGTAGACAATCAGGCGAAGAGACAGGCAGCAAGATGGGAACAGAAAGTAACCGAAACCTTTATTATCACACTGGCTTTCTTCTTAGCATGCTATCTTCCTGCCTGTATCTGCATTTACATTGTTAACTTATGCAAAGCATGCAGTTGCACTCTTATACACTGGGCAAGAGATATTCCTTCTCTTTTGATCACGGCTAATTCAGGAGTGAACCCGTTTGTGTATGCCTGGCGGTTTGAAAATTTCAGGAAAGCGTTCGCAAAACTTCTGGGGAACAGAAAGTGCTGTAGAAAACAAAGACAAAGAACTTTAACATTTGACAACATAGCCATGCAGGGAACAGAAAGTAACTAAGATTGCAATAATACAATATTGGCTCTACTCTTGCTGTATCTCCAGTTATACCTTTATTCACTTCAGTGGGTCAGAGATTTTAATTTTATTTTGATCCTCGCCATTTCAGGAGCGAATCCGTTTGTTCGTGCTCAAGTTCCGCAAGGCGTTTTTAAAATTATGATACGTACAGAAAGTGTTATGGTTATTTGAGGGAAAGAACATTAGAATTTGACACCCTTAAAGGGAACACTTCAAGTTATTTAGAGTAGTAAAGAGAAAACCTGCCAAAAAATACGGCGAAGTCTGAAGATACAATTTTTTTAATCAAGAACGTCTTCTTCTTTGGCTGGGAAATCCCGAGCCTAAAAACTCATCAAGACCTCAAGTTAACAAAGTGGTGAACGAATACAATTTGTATATATTTTAAAATTGTTGAATGCCAATCCACAATAATTCCTTGAACAGGGATTAAGACTTTCAACAATTTGTGTTGGTAAAATGTGTTGACAAACCTATCACGACGCCGACCCTGGCGATTTTGTTGGACTTGGGCACCTAGCATAGTTTAGACTGAAGGAGTACTCCTATTAAGGCTTTCCTGCCCTAAATGAGATGAGGGGAAGGTCTTTGTATATTTCTTTAAGTAAAGATCGCTTTTTAAGAAATGCAATATTGTCCACTAATATTTTCTTCAGAGTGGGTATTATGGGTAACATTGTGTGGCAACAGGTGGAAGTTTTTGAGGGGTATGAAATTCACTCAGTTCTAAGTATTTCACTTCTGACACCAAATACACTCAACTAAATCCGCCAATCACAAATGTTATTAGAACAACCATGGCACTAACTTACCCAAGAAAACTGAGAAAAAGTGAAACAAACAATAAAGAAACAAACGACAATAGACATAAGATGGGGGACAGGGTATAAAATAACTTCCTCGTGTGGTTGGCAACAACATACGATAAGGATAGAGGTTCCCTTATAGTCTACTTTGCTTGATGATTGATGCCCAACCACCTATTAAAAATGCCTTCTAGGGCTGTCCTATGCGTAGCTGTTATATCGCTTTTTCTGTTGCTTTTTTATTTGCTATTGCTTGCATCGGTCACACCGAACTTGACTTAAGCTGCGAGTCAACGCTGTTTCAAATTCATGTTGAATATCCCTATTTCACCGTCAATCACAGCACTATGTGTCGGCATTGAAAATCATGTTGTCTTATACGCTTCTTGGTCGTGCTTACCAGTGCAATCGTGATGTTTGAGATGCTTATGTCGTGGTCTAGTAAGTAATTATGCAGTTGTTCGTGGAATATTAAATTTTGTTCTTCCAACTCAACTTCTGGAAGTAGGGTTAACCAGAATATAAGCATATAACCCATAAGCTTCTGGTTTAACAATTTGGTGACTTTGATCTAGTCTCTTGTGCCCTTTCCACGACCGAAACAACTTCTACGACGGACTGCCAGACTTCATCCGGGCTCCCATAAAATTGCAACACATGCCGCACTATCTTTCGCGAATAGAAATGTTTTAGTAACTTTCTTAAACCTATTTACGGACGCAATGTTTGTGATGCAAAACGGAAGATGATTCCACAAAGTTATGAGCGGCTGCGTAAAAAGAATAATCGCCAAGTGTAACGAGTGATTTACGCTTACAAGGAGGAAGGCATAGACCATCATTTGAGCGTAAATTATGTCTTCCGGTGTCTCTAACAGAAATAAGGTCGCTTATACAAGCAAGGGCAAGACTAGGTAATTAAGAGAATTTTAAAAGCAATACGATATCATACAGGCAGCCAGTGTAATGACTTCAGCAGAGGTGCGATGTGACAAAATATGTTCTCCTGGAATATTAGGCACACAGCTCTGGGTATTCTGGACTATCTGTAACTCATGTAGATGACATTCGCAAGCTACAAACAAGAGACTGTTACAATAGTCCAGGCAGCTTGAAATAAAACATGTGTAAATGTCTCTGCACAAGTACTTTCTAATTCTTCTAAAATTGTAAAGAGGACAAAACGCTGCAGAACTAGTCTTCTAGTAGTGATATGATCAATCATAGAAAGGTTTGGGTCAAGCCAGACTTCAAGATTTTTTAACAGGAGAGTACGGAGTTACATTTACATTACCAACTTAGACGTGGCCAATATTTAGTATGGAGAGGTGCAACTTCGTGCCAATCAAAAGAAACTCAGTTTTAGCCTCATCCAACAGTAGTTCATTGTCACTCATCCAACACCTGATCGCCTTAATACAACGCTCGATAACATGCAGCGATGGTATCCAAGTGACCCGTGTCATATGCGGGGCTGAAGGAGAATGAAAGATGGGTGTCGTCTGTGTAGCAGTGGACAGATGGAATATAATCTTGAACAACATCTAGTGGCGAGATCGAACAAATGAATTATCTCAAGAAAGGAGCCTTGAGGAACTCCGCATTTTAATTGAAACTCCTCAGGCTAACACCCACGAGCTGATATCCGGTGAGTACGCCCTGATAAATACGATCGCAACCACTTAAATACCCAGTCCCCAAGTCGCACTTTGTTGAGTGCCTTCCGCAAAATACTGTAGTCGACAGTATCAATTGTAGCACAAAGATGTCGTTGTTAACTTTCAGGAGAGCAGTTTTAGTGTTGTGGTTCTCCCTGTCAGCCGATTGCGCAGTCGGATATAAGTTCGTGTCAACCATGTGATCATGTATCGGATGAAAAACTTCTTTCTAGAAAACTTCGATGAGAAAGCCAAACTTAGAGGATATTATGCGGCGGCGACAAAATATCAATTTTAAAGTGGTAAGGACAATATCTCACGAGTGAGCCCAAGTATCGCTCTTGCTACGAACATAAAATTCATATCTTCGAGCTAACGTGTAATTTTCTTTTTTGCATACGGACAATAAATTCATCGTTGTCGTTTACCACAAAATCTTTGCGGCGGCCATTATTCCAAACAACGAACAAACCACGTTCATTCAGCAAAGTTTGAAAAGGCGGAAATCGTGTCGTCATCGCTTAATATGCCCATTCGTGT